TTTTGCCATAATTAAAATTAAACCGAACACGCACGGGAGGGTGTTCCTGAACGCGGCTGGAAGCGCCCGGGGCTCCTGCCCGTGGCTCTGGCATCGTCCTGTCCTGGAACCGACTTTAGTCGTGAAGTCCGATGAGCGTTGATAGGAATTTTGTTTGGTTTTTATAAGAAGTATTTTACACATGGATTTTTTTAGACTGTTTATAATCTCCTTGAAAACCTGAAATAGGATTGTTCTCCCCCTCCCCCCCCTTGCCCCCTCCCTGCAATAGTTCTTTTCCATTGTGTGCACATGCTGATTTGTTACTAAAAGGTTTCTTGCAAGTACTTAGTTGTTCTACAGAGTTGTTGTTTTTTGGGGTATGTGGTAGCGTCGGGGACCACAGGAGGAAATGACTCTGCAAACAAGGAATGGTCACATTTGGGCCTCATCTTGTGTCCCCTTCTAGTTGGGTCTGAGCGAGTTCCCTGTGTAGGTTCTCTGTAGGCTGGCTGGCCGCTGTTCTGAACATGCCATGTACAGGTATTTGTGGATAAAGTGTTTGTTCTTGTGTCACTCTTGAGAGCATGGATGGAGTATTGTACTATAGGAAGGAGGTGGCAGTGCTGCCCTCAGCATTGCTTCAGGTCTTCGAGGATGTTGTAGTAGCGTTGTTAAAATGGGAAAAAAAAAAAAAAGAAAAAAAAGAGGAAAAAAAAAAAGGAAAAAAAAGACTAAAATAGCCAAAATTGACTTGTAGCCATAATGGGTTTCCAAGGAAAATGAACTCTGTTACTTCCCAGTGTCCTTCGTCTCGTTATTGAAGGCACAAGCTGGTGCCGGTTGGGCTGAAGGCTTTCAGAGGAGTTTGAGTGGTGGTGGAGCTGAGGTCAGGACGTGGCTCCTCAGCTCTTCCTTGCTGTGAAAGGGCAGAAGAGGGGTCAGGGCATGTTCCTGGTGTCTTGGTCTGCGCGTGTATTGAGCCCTGAGGCTTTGGTTACTGACATGATGGATCGCAGCGGCCAAGCGGTGCCCGTGGATCCATGGAAGTGCAATCAGTGCTTTGGCCACCAGTTCTTCTGTTGCTGCGCGCGGTGGTAACATCAGGACCAGCAAAGCGATTGATGCAACAATCCAGAAGCGGTTTTTGTCCCATCTTGAACGGATTTGATGGCAGGAGAGGTTTAAACTTCCCTTTTGGAGCTTGCTACCAGCAGAGAGCCAGGTCGCTGGTTCCATGGGTCCTGGTTTGCTGGGGCACAGAATAGCCATCAAAAACTGCCGAGACGAGTTTGCACTCCTAAAGAAAAATGTAAGTACTTCACCTTCTAGATGATTTTTAATTGTATTTCTGCCTAGAGCCAAGGTATTAAATACCTTGTCACTTGAGGATGGTCAAAGTTCTGTTGGGAAAAGGAATTCTTCACTCGGCTGTAAGAAATTCAGCTGGCCCAAGACTAACTTCAAGATTAAAAAAATCATGTTTGTAATAACGGTCCAGGATTGTTTGTCCTGAATTTTAAACTTTTTGTTAAATTTGTGGAACTATGGAGGAATTTTCTAGAAAAAGTGAAATAAAGTAAGATGGAAAAGTAAAACTTTCAGTGTTTTTTGTTTGTTGTGTTGCTTCTCCATGGGCAGCAATTATGGAGTCATAGAATCCCAGCCTGGTTTGGGTTGAAGGGACCTTAAAGCTCCTCCAGCCCCAACCCCTGCCCCGGGCAGGGACACCTTCCACTGGAGCAGGTTGCTCCAAGCCCCTGTGTCCAACCTGGCCTTGAACACTGCCAGGGATGGGGCAGCCACAGCTTCTCTGGGCACCCTGTGCCAGCGCCTCAGCACCCTCACAGGGAAGAGCTTCTGCCTCAGAGCTCATCTCAATCTCCCCAGTGCACCTTTCCCAAAGCACCTTGGCAGTAGCAGGGTTTTCCATGAGGAATTCAGGAGCTGGAGATAAATAGCACAGGAAGGGAAACTCTCTTTAAGCACAGTGTGTTGGGGGGGACTCTGATCACATCAGTTTTAAGTCTGTTGCTTAAATCCTGCTGCCAGTGCAGCTTTGGGTTGGCGTTCCCTGTACTTCCAAGGACTCTGCAGCAGTTTTCCACTGCTCCCAAGCCACCTCAGAGCTTGTCACTGCCCCAGAGCATCCCAGCAGAGCTCCAGCACAGGCACTGGGGCTGGCAGCAGAGGGATTTTTGCTGCTCCCCATCCCCTTGGACCCTGACCGAAGCCAGGGCTGAGCATGACATTGCAGCAGGATTAAGGACACACACAGCAGCGTTTATTGGGTGTTGCTCTGGATGCCAGAGCCCGTTTGGGTTCAGACAGAGGGAACAAACACCCCTGCAGTGGTTACAGTCGTGTCGCCTGCCTGTCACAGAGCCTAGAGCAGACACTAGTGCTCTGCAGCCCCTCCAAGCCAGCGCCCGCTCCTGCTGCTCCTCCTTTGCCCCCAGGAAACATTACTCGGAATCACAGAGTATTTGTGTTCAGGATTGGTTTCTAATTTGAAATAACGCATGTTACAAGGGATCCTTCATTCCTGGTGGGAGCAGGAGTCCTGCCAGGCGCTGGGCAGGCTCCAGTGAGCCTTATAGAACCATTTAGAAGAGAGCTCTTGGTACTGGGTGCTTCCCCCAGCTCTGAAGCTGCTCTCATGTGTTCTACACTCTCTATTTAGTGCAAATGCCTTTGCCAGGACCTTGGGAAGAACAAAACCTCTGGAGTTCTGCCCACTCCAGGCAGCATGTCTACAATTGCAAGACTACAGCCAGACTTCACACATAGTTGTACACAGCCTTATGAGCAGTCCCCAGTGTAAAATACTCTGCGGGCTGCTCATTTAACAATACAACTTACAGCTTTATGATAACTCAGAAAGATAAAACAGACTCCAAATATTGCACAAAGCCAGGAAACATGAGGTTCCACGTGGTCCTTCACGAGCAGTCACACAGCATCCATCCCCCACGTTGTGGGTGAAGAGATTGAGAACAGCTCAGGTGCTATCAGCATGCAGTTAGACATTCACAGACATGGAGGGAGGGAGGGGGGACAAAGAGAAATGGGAAGGAAAACTGCAGCTCCTGGTGGGTTTACATTAGGCTCAGGCAAAGAAATCTTTGGTGAAAACAGAACATGGGTTTCAGGTCAAGGTTGGATTTGCCCTTGTAAAAATGGAAGGGCAAGGACTGGGGAGCGGAGGGGTCCAGCTGTGTCCAAGGATTAGACCAGCCCCAGGGAAGCACGGGCTGTGAACACGCTCACCCCACTGTGCTGTAGGGGCAGGACACGAACGGGGAAGCGAGGGAAGGGGGCTCCGTGGTGCCCGAGCCTCCTTTATTTGAAGTGACCCCAGGGACTCCTCCCCAGCCCCTTCCAGTCCATGGCTGCAGCCTTTGTCCTACTGCCGGAGGCTGTTCCCGGCCGGGCCCGGCCCATCCAGGTCCATGTAGAACTGAGCGATTTGGTCCTTGTACTTCTCCACCACCGCTGGTCGCTTCAGCTTCATCGTTGGGCCTGGGGGAAACATGACAGGGGGTAAGGGGGGGGTCTTACTTGGAGGCACAAATGGGGGCTGGAGGGACACAAACCTTGAGGAATCATAGAATGGTTTGGTTGAAAACTTCTGCCTAAGAGCTCATCTCAATCTCCCCTCTTTCAGTTTGAACCCATCACCCCTTGTCCTATCGCTCCAGTCCCCAATGAAGGACCCTCTCCAGCATCCTTGTAGCCCCCTTCAGACATTGGAAGCTGCTCTGAGGTCTCCAGCAGCTTCTCCTTTTCAGGCTGAACAGCCCCAATGTTCTCAGCCTGTCTCCACATGGGAGGTGCTCCAGCCCCTGGTCATCCCCCCGTGGCCTCCTCTGGACTTGCTCCAACAAAGGAAGACTCAGAACATGTGCACAGACACTGACTTCAACTGTCTCTGTGCTCAATAAGGTTTCTCCCTTCCCCTGGGAACAGAAGCAGCAGGACCAGCCTCAAGGGGCAACACAGACCCACGCTTGAGCGCTGCTCTGCTCCCTCCTGCCGGTGGAAGCAGGGATTCATCCCACTCTCCCCAAATCGTGACTTGGAAAGGCCACGGGCAACTCTATGGACCAGGGGTCCGTTTGAGACCCAGGCAGGGGTGATGCAGTGACCCCAGCGCCCACCCACCACGCACCAAGCTCTCCACCAAAGAGAGAGAAGTCCTTCTCCAGCAGGGTCCACTTCTGGATTTTCTGGGCGTTGGAGGTGGCTTTCTCATTGACTGCTGAAATCCCCTTCTGGATAGCAGCATAGACAGCCTTGTCCTTGCTGCGGATGATCTCCGAGACCTTGGTGGCCTTGCTGCCCAGCCTCTGACAGTATTCAATAGCTTCTGGAGCGAGATCATCTCTTGGCTCACCAGTGTCTATGTTTACTTTGCACTGCAGGACAATACACAGGTAACTCGACTGACCCACACACGATTCCCTTTGAATTGCTGCAGCCCCGGGGCCTGCCCCGTTCATCAGCCACGGTGCTGGATGCAAACCACTGCTTCAAATGACAACTCACTGGTGCAAAATGCAGCTGAAACCCACCCCGAGCTCTGCCTGCCCCCCAGGAGCAAGCTGGGTACAGAGCTCCTCTTCCAAATTCTGCTTGTGCTGCCCCAAGTTCATTCCTCTTTTTGGGACCACACTTCACTTCCCTACATCCCACAGCAGCATAACAGGCTGGTGAAGTCAAGACATGCAGCACCCAACTAAGCCAAGCCCAGCACCCCCACCTCCAGGGCCTGGTGCGGTGGCTTTTGCACAGGGGGAAGGAGGTTGTCGCCCATATGTGACACCCACTGTCCTGGCAGGTCTCCAAACACAGTCAGTGCACTGGTCTCACTGGGGAGTTTAAAAAGGGTCTTAGAAAGAAACCCCTGACAGGTTGTTACTGCCCAGACTGCTCCAGGAGATGCTACAAAGGGGTAAGAAAAGCAACAGGGTTTCTTTGCTCAGTCTCACTTTCAGGTGTTTTACTCCTGTTACAGAAGCCCTGGTCCTAACCAGCAGACCCAGCTGACATTTTGCAGCTCAGCTGTAACAAGTCATACTCCACAACGCCTCCCATCTCTCCAGGAGGCTGTAAAAATGTGGCACAATTCTCTTCCTCACTGGAATCAAACCCACTCAGCGACACAGGGGGATTCCCACCCTGTTTTCCATTACCTTTAGTGTTAGAAGCATAGCAACGAACTTGGCTTTGTCTCCAACCAACATGGCATTGCTGATGATGGGCACAGCAGCTTTCACAGCATCCTCGATTGGAACGGGAGGGATGTTCTCACCTCCTGCAGTGATGATGAGCTCTGGAAAACAGTCAAATCTTGACTAATGCTCAGAGCTTTTCCCCCTTCCTCCAATCTGACATAACTTCATTGCTCCTGGGTGTCTACCAGATCAAAGAGTGAGCCTGTGTCCCACCATCTGGAGAAGGCAGCAAGCCAGGAGGACTCCAGTCAGGCTGAGAGGTGAGGCTGAGATGTGCACACAGCATTGCAAGAGCTGCTTTAATGCTCCAGAGATGTCTGTGGTTTGGGCATAGGGGTGCAGCATATGAGCACCTCAGCACCCTGCTACTGTCACCTTTAAGCCTTGAGGCGTGGATGTTGGTACCAAGGCTGTTCAGAAACTGAAGTGAAACACTTGCAGAGGCAATGCAGGGTGATGCAGAGCAGAGCCTGCCCTTCTCAGCTGCCTTTCATTTCCTAACGCAGCCCCTTTGCACAACTATTATCTCTTTTTGATGACTGAAGTCTTGCATGAAATTGGATTTGTTGGGGGCGGGTCAAAGTGGTGGCCCAAGAACCACGTTGCTGCTCATCACTTTCACAACCCCACTAAGCTCTTGTATTCTCTTGGAGGTAACCAGCAAAACCAGCTGGAACGGGAGGGAGCTGATGGCACAGACAGTGAGAACCTGGGCAGGTCCAGCACCATGAAACAAGCATTAACTGCTGCTTCTGAAATCAGAGGATTCATTCCTTGCTCTGGAAACACACCCTGGTTTCAGGTGTGAAAGAAACCCCTCTGCTCCCACCACATGCCATGGCACCTGCTCAGTGACAGGACACACTGGGGTTTCCTCAAACTAAAAACTTCTGAAAGAGAAGTATTTAGAATCCCAGACTAGTTTGGGCTGGAAGGGACCTTAAAGCTCATCCAGTTCCAACCCCCTGCCACGGGCAGGGACACCTTCCACTAGAGCAGGTTGCTCCAAGCCCCTGTGTCCAACCTGGCCTTGAACACTGCCAGGGATGGGGCAGCCACAGCTTCTCTGGGCACCCTGTGCCAGCGCCTCAGCACCCTCACAGGGAAGAGCTTCTGCCTTAGATCTAACCTGAACTTCCCCTGTTTCAGTTTGAACCCATCACCCCTTGTCCTGTTGCTCCAGTCCCTGATGAACGTCCCTCTCCAGCATCCCTGTAGCCCCCTTCAGACACTGGAAGCTGCTCTGTGTTCTCTACCCAGCCAACTTCTTCTGCCCAAGCCACAACCACACCACCAGCAGGGGCTGAACACAGCTCATCACGGTGCTGTGTAACCTCGAGACAACCACATCAGGGGATGTTACCTTTAATTCTGCCAGTGATGTAGAGGAATCCATGTGCATCCAGCTTGCCAAGGTCACCCGAATGCAGCCAGCCTTCTTCATCAATTGCCTCTTTGGTTTTGTCCTCCATGTTCAGGTAGCCCATGAAAACGTGCCTTCCCAAGAAGCAGACCTCACCAATGCCGTATTGATCCGCGTTATGGATGCGTGTCTGGCAGCCTGCGACACTCCTTCCACAGCTTAAAGAGAACACAAACACAAACCCAGGGCTTGGCTTGGTTTTAGTTCAGTAGCTGAGCAGCAGAGTGAGATCACAGCAGCCCCCTCTCAAGCTGAAGTGTTTGACCAAAGCCAGGCAGCTTTTTATTACAAGTGCTTCAGCCAGAAGCTTTGAACTTAAAAGGCATCTGCTTGTATAAGGGGAACTCCAGAGGAAGTTGTTATTGCAGAGAGATGGGTGCTCACACACCTGGTGGTTTCCACCCATTGCTCTCAAACACCTGAGCTTTGAATTAGAAGGTTGGTGGCCTTGGCAGCAAACTTTTACCATGGTGGTGTGGTGTTTACTTGGCAGCCTGAACCCCTGGGGACTGGAGGAGCCATTCAGAGCAGCAGCACAATCTTACTGCCTTTATTCATTCAACCCTGAGGTGAACTGTGGGCTCGAGTTACTAATTCTTCCTTCTCCTCATCAATCCCTTGCCTCCTCCTCAGTTCCTAGAGGATACAGGCCAAGTTAAATTGAAGCAACACCACTGCTGCCCTTGGCAGATCTCTTTATCTGCAAGATGCAGCCAAAGGAACTGGCTCCCTGGTAACCTTTTCCTGGCTCCAAGACTCTGGGCATGAGCTGTACCAGGAGAGATGCACGTGGCAGATGTAGGAGAAACCTTAGAGCAACTCCTCCTCATGGGCAGCAGTGCTCTGCTCACAGAAAGGCCTTTACCTGGTAAGCCTGAACATGCTAGGTGTAGAGACTGTGTGAGGCCCAGTGCTCTCACTCATGCCATACAGCTCAAGCACAGGGATGTCCAGACTTAAGAAGAATTCCAGTGTCTCTCTGGAGATGGGAGCAGCCCCTGTGTAGCACTTGACGCACCGGTCCAGCCCAATGGCCTTTTGCACTTTCTTGTACACCAAGTGCTTGGCTACGTGGAAGTTCATTGGGGTATCATAATACCTGTAGGAGAAGAATGGTTACAAGATCTCAGTCACAAGCAGAACTTCTCCCAGTTCCTCCTTTCATCTTCATCCTATCTTAGTTTACTCAGGAAAAAACTCATTTCCCCCCTCCAGCCCTTACTGCTCACCCTCTGGTCCAAGCACAAACAGTAGAAACCAAATGGAGTTAGTCTGGCCTGTTCCATGGCATATAATCCCTGACCCGATAGTAGAGTTTTCCCAGTGTTCCTGACACCCCTTCCTGTAGTTCAGAATTACCCATTCATCCGGCCCAGGTTTGTCTGCAACCCAATTTCCTTGGCCCACGCGGCCACTTTTCTTCGGAGCGCTGAGGATTTTGCACCTATGGATTTCATTCTTTCTTCCATTTTTTCCCAGACACGAGGAACTCCCAAAAAACACGTTGGCCTCACTTCCCGCAGGGTCTCCACCAAAGTGCCCTGGGCAAAGCAGAATCCAATACAGCTTCAGCACAGAGTTCCAGGCAGCTCTTCACTACACAAAGCTTAGGACTCTAGCATCAATTTTGAGGAATTTCTCCTTTTCAGCTGAAGTGCCACCAAGAAAAAGGAACCCCAGTAGTATTCAGATGCCACAGTGGTCTTGAGAAGACAGCAAGGGTCAATGCTTTCAGTGCCAGCGTTGACACAGTGCCAGGAGAAGACTCATTCTCTTCTCAGAACAGATTTAACACTGGGGGTATTTTGCAACATGTACAAATCAAATATAAAGCCATTGCTTAACCAAGCTGCTGGGGCAAAGAACTGCTGTCAGGTGAGACACCAAGAAGCTCCTAGTTGTGAAGAGCTTGCTCAGCTTAACCCAGTTTGGAACAGAGAGTCAAAAGGCAAAAGGTCAGTGGCTGCATTTGTCAACACAACAGAGCCTTAAAGAGGAGCACTTGGTCACTATGCAAATAGGTAGAGTTAGCACAGCTTTCAGAATCATGAGATAAGTCAAGCTATGTTGGTTTTAAGTCAAGTTACATTGGTTTTAAAGCACCCACCCCAGCTACAAGCAGGTGGATGGGGATAAGGGTTTAATTATGTTTTTACCTTTAATGCATCTGGTTGAGCAAAGAAGACTTGTGCTCCGAATATCATTGGCAACCAAATATCTGTTATCTGTGCAGCAACGTGACTGAGGGGGAGGTAGCTGACCACCAGCTCCTGCTTTGTTTTAGCATCTGTCAGCAACAGGGAGTATCCCGCTGCCATTGCCGTCCAGGTCAGCTGCAACAAGAACCCACATGAGTGTGGAGTGGCCGCTCCACAAAACACAGCTCACAAACCAGGTCTGCATCATCCCGCAGTTTTACCACCAGGCATGGTTTGCAGCCCATCTCTACCCTCCCTCAGCACACACCCGAGGTCACAGTACTTGGAGTGGGCAGATACACAGAGACTCACGTTGTCATGACTGAGCATCACCCCCTTTGGCAGTCCAGTTGTCCCCGAGGTGTAGATCAGTGTACAGCACTGGTTCGGCTTCTGTGACTTGATGATTTCATGGAGCCGAGTGTCTGGAACATCTCTGCCGAGCTCCATGAACTCACTCCACTGTATGCAGAAGAGCAAAGCTCCATCACTTTGTAGGCTCTCACTCACATGCAAAATTAAACCCTTTGCTACACATGAAGAGAAGGAAACTATTTCCTACATCCAAACCTCTGGCACAATCTGGAAGAGGTTGTAAATATGCACTGTCAGCCCCACAGCGTTTTCTGGCTGCCACGAGAGGCATGGCAAGAAGCAGAAAAGGAGACTGATCCACCGACCACAAGTGCTGCAGCAACCCTGATATTAACTGGGTGTTCCAAGCACCTCAGTGGTCCCTGAGGCTGCCTTGCAGAGGGCAGTACACTGACAACCTCCCTCATAACGTGGATTATGGAGGTTTGAAGTACAGCAGACACCCACTGCTCCAGCAAGGCAAGCAATCCCTCACTAGAGCCAACACAAGCTCATCTGATGACAGTCCTGTGGAAGGCAATGGCTACTCACAAGCCACCAGCTCAACACAGCCAGTATTTACAAGCCACCAAAATGCCCAGTACTTACATAGTACAGATTTGGTCTCTTCTCTTTTAGCACTTCCCCATACTGGACAATAGCTTTCAGATGAGGTAGTTTATGCTGAATCTGTGTTAAGAAGTGAGATACGTGAGAAGGAGGAAATCCTGCTTGTCCCTTTAAAGCCTAAGTAACCCTCTACTTAACATGCTACTGCTACTTGCATAAAGCGTTTTACATAAAGCTAAGAGAATCTCATCTGTGTTACAGGAAAGAGAATGGGGAAGCCTCCCTAAAGAGCCATTTTGACTGGGATGTTGCCAGACAACCAGGGGATGCCCACTTGTTCTTTTTGGCTTCTCATATTTTAAGCTCAAGGCTTCATTAAGCTGTGAAACCACCATTTAACCTCTTGTGAGAGTGACTATTCATGTGGCTTGAACAGGAGCACACTAAGGAGGCTCCACCAGTTCACCTCTGTTTTCAGATCCAGCATTTCCCTTGGGTACCACTCTCCCACATCTGTCAACAGGAAGCTGTAGCTCCCAGCCATGTAGAAAGTGTATTTACTTCTAAGATCTTCTGCAGCTGTTTATGGTTTTCCACAACCACCACGTTAGCACTACAGTTCTCTGCTACATAATGACAGGCCTCAGGAGAGTTTGTAGCATAGATACCAACAGCAAATCCACTACAAAAGAAAAGGAAAAGCAGAACACAATTAGAGGATTATCAGAGTTGATGGCAAAATTTGCATCATTTCCAACTTTTAAGAGAGGAAAAAACTTAGGAAGAATGTCCCATAAAACAACGATAAAAAGCAGAAGGGTTAACCCCAAGATTAAAGGCTCTGTTCTGCAGTATGAGGCATTTCAGAGCAGTATAAGGGACCAAAATGCCTCAGGTGGAAGGCAGCTACCAAAGTCCCATGCTGTGATTCCCTGGCATTTCCCCTCCTATTTTTAATCACAGTGTAAATAAACCTGCTTTTGGATTAACCTTTTATTCACATCATCTTTTGAGAGAAGTACCTGTCTAAAAAAACCCCAACATTAATTTTTGTCTCATTAACTTCTAACGAAGTAAAGAGAGAGTTAGGTTCTAAGCTATCTTCAGTACATTCAAATAGAAGCAGTTGGTTTTGTTGTGGGACTATTCACTGCTCAGTATCCTCACAGGAATACTGAAGTTACTGTCTGAATGCTAAAGGAAAATGCATGTCAAGAGAACACTCACTCTTACCCCGCAAGGATAGCTGCAATGTCAGCAATAATCCACTCAGCAGCATTAAATCCCAAGATGCACACTCCATGGAAACGCTCTAGTCCCAGCTGCAAATAAGAGAGGAGATTACAGCAATCCTGGTTTTCCTTCCAAGAATGCTTAGAGTTAACTTATGGATCTCTGCTGTGAGCACATCCAGGGAAAAGGTCATGCTATTATATACAATAATTCACACAGAAGAACTACCCAAGACCTAGTATGGAACCAGTTGAGTTTCACATCAGACACTGTCCCACTTTATCAGTGGGCAGGGGCAAAAAAAAGGGATTTTCCTTAGGGTGCACTTGGTATGAGGAGCTCACTGATGCTAACGGTGGTGTAACAACTGCCATCCAGGCAGTTAATCATCCCTTTGGGCTGGGAAGGAGAAGGTAAGAGGTTAAGTTAGACAACACCTATTGAGACATTCAGTCCTTTAGTACAGGTTAGCTATGTCAGACATCAATAATGACAAAAGCAACAAGCTCCAGTGACAGTCAGACACTTTGCTATGAAATTCCAGCTGTTAAAGTCCAGATCTTTAAAACTCCTTCAGCCCTTCTCTGGTTTTATCCCAGAGTGGAAGTACATAGACCGAAAGATCCCATCACAGGAGTGAAAGCAGAGTGGCCTTAACTTCAAGAAAGAAGACTTCCTAATGATAACAGTTAGTACATGTAATGTTTCTCCCTCCAAGCATCTTAACTCCCAGCAGTACAGGCAACAGACTCAGCTAGTTTGGACATTTAAGTCTGATTCATAATTATCCCTTCAAGTTTTTTCTGAGAAAGACTGAAATGTAGATGTCTCATGAGGGGCATTGTCCAGGTTTGCCATACACCTCAAACACTTCCCTTGCAAGGTTTCCTTACCCACTTTTTTTAGTTGGATGTGGAAGCAACTTGCAAGAAATTCAAGCAAAACCACTGTAGTAATTCCTAAGCTGTTCATGACATGTTCAGGTCTTTCTCTGTCACTTTAAGGCTCTCCTACACTCAAGAGTCAGTAGGTTGACTACAGCCATTTCAGCAGTTAAACCAACTGAGCATTAACAAGCAGAATTCAACAAAAGCTTACCTTCAGGAAGCTTTTTGCTGCTTTCCAGCAGTCATTATAGTACATCTGATACGTTAGTTTTATCCAGTTGCCATTCTTTTTGGATGCAAGGGCATAATAATTAGAATATTTCTTCACCGTTTCCTGGAATAGTTCGTGCACAGTCTTTGGTGCCTCGCTGCCTAGACCCTTCTCAGCTATCCTCAGTTTGACTTCTCCATCTCGTTGTGTTGTCCACGAACCAGAGGTAGGTGAAGAGGCTGGGTTGAAAAAGAAGTGTTCAGCATCTTATATTTAGCAATTGCTTGCTGCCATAACAGAGATATAAATACAAGTATCAAACATAAGAAAGGAAATGCTGTTATACCTCCCTCCCACACCCCTTCGACTTTTTATTCTTGGCAAGTTTGCCATACAACCCCCAGTAGTTTAGATCAGGACTAATAGATGAAGCTTCTAAAGCACTTTGGAAGTTTTCTTAAACATTTCCCATTTACATCCCCCTCTAACCTGCTTTGCTGCCCTAAAGCTCTTGTAACCAGTAAAGTGGCAGCTTCTCACAACAGTCATATACACTCTACTTCTGCTTTCCTTTCCTTTCAAGGAGGACTGGAAGTAGCACATTACTGCCTGGTAGATAAGCATTAGGCAGTGACACTACCTATTTTACTCCCTGAAGTCAAAGTTCAAGACACTTCTGGACAGACCATCTGACAATTTCAGTTTCTTCTTCCATTGCAGTGGTTTGATAAATTCCTTTCTCGTTTCAATAATAAGTTTATGCACACCACAGTAACTGAAAACTCTTTCCACTTACCTTTGCAACTAACCTGAGATCTCTCCATCTTAGTATCTTCAACTGTCTCACTGCTGTGGACCTCAACAGTTCTGCAAGAGAAAAGCAATGAGCCCTGGAGAGGCTTTAGCACCCTGAAAAATGCCTTAGGCATGCTTGCTCCATCACAGGATTATATTAATCCTTGGGTATGTGTGAAAGTGATTCCTGATGTTCTGCAGTGGACTTTATTGATTTTACTAGCCTGCATGGCTACAGCAACACAACAGTTCCCTCTCAGAGGGCATGCAAGCTCTGCCTGCACTGCTTTTAAACACATGTATGTTGTCTGAACTGTAGCTATTGCTTCAGATGAGCTGCAGAAGAATCCATAAACACATCAGCCAGAAACCAGGGATGATTTCATACCAGAGCTCTGCTCTGGGTGCCTGTAACTGAGAGTCTCCAGCAGCAAGGAGGCAGGGGGCAGGAAGGGGCCCATGAGTTGGTGCTTATCTCCTGTCTGCAATACATGCAGATCACAAAGGGGAGGCCCCAGCAGCCTCTCTCCTGAGCAGTGCAGCAATCCCCCAGCCTGCAGGGAAACCCACAGAGATTTCCTGCAGAAGCCAGGCCAGCTGAGGAGCAGGAAATTGATTTAACAGGAAAGCTTGTTCTTAGGTATTCCTAATAAACTTGGTGCATAAGGCTCCCACCAGATGTTTCTGAAGAAATAGATGGGGGATGTGCCTGTTTCTGCTCCAGTCACGCTCCTCACCAGGAACTTGTCCTGAGGTGCCAGCTGAAAGTTGCCCCTTTTACTTTCAACCTTGCAAGATCTGGTGAAGTGCCCCCTGCCTGCGGTTGTAGAACAGTGTTTTTCCTCTGTCCCCTTCCAAGACAGACTCTCACAGCCATGAGTGATGAGGGTAAGGAATAATCAAGTCCATGTCCCACTTCAGACCACAAACTGAAAGCCAGACCCTGTGGGATTTGGTATTTGAGTCCCTAAAAGGACATCTCACCCTCCAACCTACAGGCAGACAGATCCCCTACCATCGGCACAGTGGTAACATCCAAGCCTTAGATATTCCAGAGAACCAAAGTTTCCCTCTTGCCTTCCCAAACAGCCCTCCTGGGGCCCTTCACTCCAGGCAATCACGAAGGTGTTTCTTTCTTCATGCCGGTGCTAGGTGTTCACTCTCCCCCATGGCAACGTTTGGTGCAAGGTTTCTCTCTAGCACCCAGGTGTTCTAGAAGGGCTGGGGGTCCCTGATATCACAACAGCGCCAGCCCTTTGCAGGGACAGCTTTGGGGCAAAGAGAAGCCTTGACATTTCTGCCTGTCATGCTCATCAGTCCCATGCAAACTCCTCAGCCTCCCCCAGTCAGGGTTCCCACTGAGCCCCACATCTTCCCTTTCTGCTAGACCACAGAGAAGACAAGTCAGCACAAGGCACTGTGTGAACTTTAGTCTAAGGGGTAAATACCTTCACTTTGGTTAAAGTCTTCTCTGAATTTCTAGGGGATAATCAACAGTTATTGCTTTGAGCCTTATGTTAGGGTTTAAAGCATAGAGAAGATTTGACAAGGCTACTGTCCAAAGTGGAACTGCTTCTCCTAACTGATCTGCAAGCCAGAAACCAGAGGGAAGTAAATATTTTTTCTTGGTTTCCCCAAAGGGATTACGAGATGTTCCCTACCACGCATTTCCTCCTTGACACTGAGAACATTTTTCAGTGCACATCAATCCTCAGTTGCAATAGTTCTGCACCATTTCTCCACCAGCTTTTATGATCAAAGCATGCAAATGACCCAATAATAGAGGGGGAGGGAAAAAGCCTCAGTTACTTTTCTTCAGTGAATCAAGTCATCTTTTTGTCCCCCTTAACATGTAATCCAAATGTAGCCTGAAAAAAATTAGGTAAAGATCTTTTTTTGTGAGATACAGACCCTTACATACTAACCTGCTCTTCAGTAAGAGGCTGCTTAGATTTATAGAGACACTAATAGGAGTTGGATGAAAATCAGGTACTGAACATGGGCAATCCCCCACCACTGAGACACACCTCTGGTTACAGCAACACTTCATGATGTACTCACTGGGTATTCTATTTGATCAGTGCCTTCTCATCTACATAGAACTTAAAACTCACAAGGTTCCTTTAGAAGATGTGATCTTTCTGACTGTGAATAATATTCTACCATTCCTGTGCTTTAAGTTGATATTAAATGCATGCTACTTTAAGCTCCAGCCTCTGTACAGCAGCTCTGTACAGCAGCTCTGTACAGCAAATTTAACTCTGTTCCTCTTCTTTTGAGAGGGTGAGGTTGTAGATTCAGCTTCTGGATTTTGGAATTAGTAACAAATGTTTGAAACTCCTTCCAAAATCTAATCTGAATTAAATCAAAGCAAACATGATAAAATACAAACTGTTTCCTATGCATGCAGGTCACCACAGAGAAAATAAAATCTGAGCTAAGACAAACCTAGCTGATGAGTTGAGCAGTACATCATCCAGTGACACCTCACAGCTCCCTTGAGGATCCAAATTAGAGCAAGCCACAGGGACTGGTTCTGCAACTGCCACGGGTGCATCTGCCTCACACAGCATTGTCCCTGTAAAAACAGGTTTGAAAATGAAAATACAATCAACGGTGACAGTAAAATCAGCTGCCATTAATGTAGCTGTCTGACCAGGGCAATCCCAAAATAGGCATGATTCCAGAGTGCTGGATTTGCATGGAATACAGTGGATTCTAACAGCAGACGCAGCACACTCCGCACTCAGTTTAAAACCCCATCAGTGACAGGAGATACACCCACCCCACATCCCAACACGAGTGTGACAACCACACCTTCGACCAAAAGGGCACCACGAGCCTGACAGCTCAAGTTTTACACTCTCCTTCCCCCAAACATTCACACCCGGCTCTCGGACACCCCCAAACCCACCTCCCAGGACACCGGCTCCAGCCTTACAACGCATGGCCTTTGTGCAGCCTCAGCCTCTCCTCCCTCAAGCTCCAGCCCAGCGCTGAGGAGCAGGATGTGCAATAACCCTTAGTTTTAAACTAGCGCCCAGGAGGCAGGTCTGGAGCATCTTATGTCATGTGCTGCCTGCCTCGCAATTGGAAGCGGCTCCTCACCCCACATCGCTGCCTCTTAAGTAAGCTCTGGCTCCGTGCCTGCCCGCCAGCCTCGGCACAAGGGGGTTTTGGGGTCCCTCTCAGGGGACAGAGCCCCAGAACAGCCCCGAGATTTAACCTGTTCTCATAACAATCCACCCCTTTGCAGCCTTTGCTTTCAGCGGCTCTTCCAGTGCTTTCAGTACTTTCTCATGAGGGGTTTTAATCATCTCAACAAAGTGGTTTTGAATGTTGATTTCATTTAAGGTTTACATTCATCAAAAGCTTTTGATGTTCACGCCTGACAGGCTGAGCTTTAATTGTTTCAAGGGATTTCTAATTGATTGGAGAGGAATCTTATTATCCTTGATCTTTGTACAAAGTGGATGTTCGGGTACTATTTTGTACCTTCATTAGACAGATGCAGTTTCAAGCAGACAATGTGAAGAGCATCTTTGTCTCAACAATGAGAGACAGGAGCAAAAGGAAAAAGCCTTTTTATCTTATGAATCTGACACAGCCAGGCTGCAGCCTTCAGCCTCTGATGGGTGGGGAAAGCCAGGACAGGCACAATTCCCAGCAGGCAGAGCTGCCTTCCCCCCAGGAAAGCAGATCCCCCCCTTCCCCTTACTCATCTACAAAAGGACACGTTGCTGCTCACACCACATTCTGTCATGGGCTACAATTCACAACACAAAAAGTAGTTTCATTCACCAGCAGCTGAGAAAGAGATGTCTCCAAAACTCCTACCTCTGAAGCAGACGTCACCCAGCACCTCATTCTAGGGTGGAACACGACAGTGGTTTATTCTTTTGGGGCTTTTTTGGTAGTAAGACAGCTGTGAGAAAAGGGGTGTTATCTCTACAGAGGAAACCCTGGGACCTGTGACCCAGGTTTAGCTCCCTCCCCAGCCTGGAGGAACTCACTCCCACATCTAGAGGAGCATGCTGATCAGCAGCCAGCTCCATGCCTGCTGGAGGTGCCAGCACAACCTCTCTTGCTCAAACAGAGCCCAAGGCACACGGCGAGGAGGGATGTACTGTAGAACCTGTCATCAGCCTGACCCCCTTTCGCAGTGCTGCACCCACATTCCTTCCCAGCACCCAACAACAAGTTGTTTAAGGCTCCCCTGCAACCCTGGAGAAAGCTTTTCTCCCTGTACTAATTACAGCATCTCTTTTGCCATCTGCTCTTCAATGCAGCAAGAAAGTCTGCAGGGAAAGTGTGGCAGTGGCCTCACACCAGCTATGTTGCAGCACAGCCCGGTGGAGGTTGGTTAGAAACCTGTTGGGCAAAGAGAGGCAGAAGTCTCACCTCTCACAGAGGCATTTCAGCTGCTGGGCTGCAGGCTTCTGCATCGCCCACAGTCACTCAAGAGGAAAAAGCACTTCACACTGGAGGCTGTAACTGTGCTCTGCCCTCACTGCATACATGCCCTTCACCAAGACACCCTGTACAGGGTATATAGCCCTGGCAGGAGGGTCTCCTGCTGGTGGGGGCTCACTTCCCAAGTGTGGGCACACCAGGTACAGCACAACTTGAAAGTCTGGGGAGACAAAGCAGGACATCACTGTCTCCATCACATCCAGTGGGATGGGATCTTCAGGGAGAACCTAGATGTTAATGCCCCATGGCCCCCAGCACCTGGAGAGCAGCAGCACCCCCCTGCATAAGCAGCAGCAGAACTTCTGGAGCACCCAGGTACATTCACACTGTGAAACAAGGCTGAAATGCATCCCGGTTGTGCAAGGTTCCTTGTGGACGCCGGCCACTGGAACGCCAAGGCAGCCATGTGCTTCGTACAACAAATTTAGGTTAGAAACAATTTGCCAATGTATATGCTCTCCTTCTCTGAGGCTTGGTTACAGACACAGCTATGCCACTGGAAAACACACACAGGCTCACCAGAGCCAGGCAGTAGCTCACTGGGGTGAATGTGATCACAAATGGGATCAAGAATGATCCCGTCCTGTCCCACGCTGTTTCCACAGGAGCTAACACACAGATGGTCAGGAACATGAAGAAGACACACCCAAACAAAACCTGCTGAAAGAAACCTGCCTTTTAATTACCCTGCGTGGCAACTGAAGTCATTTCAATACAAAGCATCTTCTGCTTTGAGGGAATGCTGCGTCCAAGAAGAGCTGGAAGTTGGTGAAGGATTTCATTGGAGCCTCACTAACAAAACAAAATGAAACGTGCAAAGCCATGACAGTCAATGGGACAGAAGTGCCAGTTTATAAGTAAATGGGTGTTCAGAGGTTATTAAGGCACATGCAGAGCTTCCAAAAGGCCAGTTCAAATTCAGACTGCTGCAGATGTTCATTGGCCATCTTGACATTTTCCAGCACAGCCCGCTTTGCTTCCTGTTAATGATTTAGTTTCTTTTTACACCACATCTGATATCTGATCTGATCCAATTTCCATCGTGCAGATCAGCTTTAGGAATTGCTTTGTTATCTCGCTGCCTTTCAACACTTCCACCAAAACTGAAACTTGGCCTTTTTGCTTGTTTTCCTCACAGATTTATTAAGTGAGGAGAGAGCAGCTGAGCAACCCACCCTTCCTCTTTTAGATAAATCCCAGTTTTTAAAAGGGCAGTGTGAAAAACTTCTAAGCACTACAGGTTTTTTCCTCAGCAGAACCACTGGCCAGGGGTTGGCACACGGCTGTGCTGGGTAATGATCTGATGCTGAAGCTAAGAGAACACGAGGAAAAGCAACTCCAATCTCTATAAGGATGACACCACGCCAAAGATCTGACGCGGCTGCAGACAGACACTTGGCTCCATCGCAACACTGAACATTGACTGAACAACACTGGTGCAGAGCATCACTTTGCCACTAAAACCAAGGCTTGCCCGCCCCGAGCAGGGTGCCGGTGTGGCGCGGGAGGCATCAGCACCGTGTGGCTCCCCAGCCACGCAGACCACTGCAGAACTCATCTTACACTGCGTGCAGATTGCTTCTCCAGGACACTAAGATTTTAGGTGAATTCCCCAGAACCTGACTCACCAAGAGGCTTTTTTAAGTTCCTATTTCCTAAACTGCTATTTGCTTTACTACACCATCTGCACTTGCCTAAGGGTGGGAAACCCCCTTGTGCAGAGTGAGGAAGCGCTGGAGTGTGTGCTCAGAGACACGTCACCCGTGTTTCTGCCAGCTCCCACACCACCCAAGGCTTCGTCTTGGCTCAGAGGTGCAGAGCCAGAGCATCCCCAGGCAGTCATGTCCCTTCATGCTCCTTCTCCACCCCTGGCAGGGCAGGAATGGCAACAGCCTCCCCCAGGAGGGGATCGGCCTCGCGAAGAAACCGAGTCGGCACTGCAGAAGGGTTAGAGAAGACCCCCGAGATCCAACACCCCCCCCAGCCCCACAGCCTCCCGCTCGGGACACGGCGGGGACATCGCATGGCACAGCCCCCTACGGAGCTGCGACCCCCGCGGCACCGCGACCTCCTCCTCCCCACAGCGGTCAGGACGGAGCGAGCGCTGTCACGGCTCACGGGGACGCAGACGGGGCTCCTGTGCCAGAGGGGGATGATGAACAGAAACCGGCCGCGAGCGAAAGACG